ACCTAGATTTTACTAACTTAGTAAAATAAACTAGACCATGCCCAGGTTTTTTCCGTCCATTCCATGCCCGACTTTTCCGTCCAGTCTCCCTTTAAGTGAGGGATGGAAGAATGTAAAGAATTTTAAGGCATTCCTTTCGTATATTTTTGTAGTGCAGTAGTCGGCGCATTCAGCTAGCAATTCTTGTAGTCAGTTGGTTTTTTACATCACGAAAAAAATGCGGTAATCTTGACAAAGCGACTGTTTGTAGGAATAAATACCTCAGTCGCTTTAGCACTTTAAAAAATTGTCTGTTTTGGAACATACGATGTTTTTGTATTTTTAAGAGTAAAAGTTAACCCTTTTTTTGTAAGAAATAAATTTGTTTTTGGAGCATTAGAAGTTTTTCCTGTGGTCTGGTATTAAAATGTGATATTTTGCTTTAGTAAGGAAAAAAAATCATAGGAATTTTCGCCGATGGCTATGTAGGATATTCTGCTTGACATATATTTGAAAATAGATTCCAACTAACAGGGAAAGGGAAATTTTCCATTTGTACTCTGTTTCCGACGAAATAGATAAGTGATTATTTACAGTAGAACAGCAAGTGCCTGAATAGCATTTATTTCTTGTGAAATAGCAGAGTAATATGCTACTACAAATATACATACTCATTAAATATGAAATGTTTCTCCTTTGCATTAATAAAGTTAATTTACCTTAATCGTCTCATTTTTACTTGAAACACTGTAGCGCGAATCTGTGGAGTTAATATACATTAAAATCGACAAGTACATGTGTTCCGTAATGATTATCTGGGGGTAAAACTGAGACAAGTCAATACAGAAGTATTGATAATTTATTTAATCACTACTTTACTAATTTGGTAATAGTTTTGCCCGTTGCGTTATTCGTTTTCCTTTGGGTGAAAGTGGAAAAGACCTTAGGAAAGAGTATATTGCCCTGTGATTTTCGGGAAACTGATATTTCTGTGTCAGTGTCCGTTTACAGCATCAGTGTCCATATTTTCCTCAGAACCTTATTCAAAATTATGGGAACACAAAAACTCCTGTTACGTCCAAGTTTCATTTATAAAAGACGACGTCATAACAGGTTCCACTTTACTTGAGATGTGAAATAATTTACAACGTTAAAAGCATTTAAAAATACTTTAAGCAGTAAGTAAAAAATTGCTGAGCAATCCTTTACTCAAAGCAGAGCTTTTGCTTATTTTAAAATGTTTCTGAAGCATCGTAAATTATTTTACTTGCATTTGAAATAGAATTGTTGCTTTCGAGTTTAACGTCTATAAGTACTTAATTGTACCGAAACTGATGATTTGAAGAATACTCTTACTGTTACGTATATTCTTGCATCCAACCCATAGCTTACTTCTGTAGTGCCATTATTTCTCGAATACGCAGTTTGGCTTTGATCATTTTCTTTTATTGTTCATTTGCCGATGACAAAAGCTTATGATGCATTTTGTCTGAGTATCCTGGCGTTAACACTTAATTCTGGAAAACATGCATTCCATTATCTTCACGCTTAGAGTCAAACGTTTGAAGTAACGGTTTCGCATGAGTTTGATGTTAGCGACTGCCTTTGAGACTGTGTGGGCAAGCGTAAATCCAGCCGAATGTTCAAAATCTCGTTCTTTCGCTATTTACATAGTGACTGCTATTAAACCACAGCTTTCTCGCTCGAGAAGGACGTAATCTGAACCTCGGGGAGAATGATTAAATTTGCTGATTGCTTCAGATGAAATCTTGGCGTCTCCCTTGTTATGAGACAGTTATTGCTGTAGGATATTTATTTCCTTTGAATGAGTCTTTTAATGGCGTGGAATTGAGCTTAGTTCTCTTTCCTTTGAAGCTAATTATGAGAAACGTAAGGAAAAATACCAATAAATGCGACAGTTCTGGGACAATCTGAAGGAAATCATAATGGTATTAATCAATTTTGGATGAAAGCATATCGATATTTAGTTTTTATTTCTCTTTGTATTGCTTTTCATGAAATACATTTTGAACATCTAATCTGTGCATCACCAAATTGAAATATTATAAATTAAAAGTCCCCCCTCCAACAATGAACAATTTTTGTATTTATGATACATAATATTTTAGGGAGAGATTTATAACGGGCAGTTAATTTCATCGAAGTACATTTTGTTTTCTTTGCGGAAACACTTGTTATTTTACATTTCTAGGATTTATTATTTTCTCAGAAATTTTCCGTCCGTGTCGCGTGATACCAATGTTGACTACTAATATGCTGTTACCCTTGCTCTCTTGTCTACTCTCTGACAGGCTGTGGAATGTTTATGTTCTCATGCTGCGTGATCGAATGTAGATGTACAACTAGTGGAACAACCTTTTTCTCTTCTCTCTCTCTAGGAGAAAGAAAGGGAAATCTCGGACAGTAGTAAAATTGCACGTTCTTGACCTCAAATCTAGACTCGAGAATTCTGACGACTTCATTCGAAATGAGAGCGATTGGTTTGTCTTACTGACCATTACGTTAAGGGCGGTTTTTAAAATCCAAGTTCTTTGGGAACACCTCTGTTAAACGAAACCGTTCACGGAATATCGACATTTTTCATATATGAACTGCGATTTTCTTCTGCAGATGTTCCCGTGATATGTAATTTTGAAGCTACTAAAGCTGCGAAAATAATTCGTTTCGTATTCGAATGTCTAAACTGTTCAGACTTTATTGGATTTTGGTGAGAATTCTATATGTTACATAAATACCAGTCAGCTTTCTTTTGAAATTCCTCCATAAAGACAGAAATCTGTCTAAGGGATCCTTTTTTTTTTTCCTCTAAGGCCGAGAATCTTTGCGTGTTTTGTCATAATTCGAGTATTTGAAACCGCTAAGATGTTAAATAGTAAAGTATTGCAATATCTTATAGTGCTACTTTTCTATGCGTATTTTTAATTAAAGAGTAATTTTCTTTGATATGTTGGTCAATACAGGTATGTTCTCCTCTTTTCATTTGTCAATGAAATCTTGAAAGCTTTTCTTAGCAGTGTCCCAAAAAACAAAACAAAAATGCTCAATAAATATCAAATTTAAAGAGCTGTTGAATGTCTGCTGTATCTAGTAAATGAGGTCTCCCAAGTTGACGTGGTTTAAAGTTACGATACACTGGTAATTCTCGGATTCGATTCCCAGCTACCGAACAGGGTTGATAGCATGGATTTTCTTTTTTCTCCTAGTGTGAAGTGTTAATACAAACTGCAGAGAGTTTCGTATTAAATAAGACAAAAAGAAAGCATACCTGTGAACGCTGTAATTATTTTATTTTGATAAATTAGATTTACAGTGAAACTATAGTTATCCAAGTTTCTTGCACATGTTCTATGTATGCCTCTCCGGTGACACATCAAATATCTATACCGTATTCCAGTTCTTGCCACACTCATGATAGAATATCCTTTGCTTGAATTGTTGTTATCCGCTGTTTCAGTTATTGTAAGTCCTGGGGCAATGGAGGCGTGGACGCTTTAACAAAACCCTATAGGAAAAAGTCACAAGAGGTTAGATTTGACGATCTCGGTGGCCAACAAAGCAATTGGGTAGACTATCGTTCTAACCCATTGCACAAACCAATGTCTGAGTTCTACCAAAGTTTGACCCAGCACAGCCAGTCCAGCGATGGGGTAGACTACCGCTCAGATACTGGCGTACGTTTTAATGCCAATGTTGTGGAGCATCTTCTTGGTGCAGAATGAAGCCGGAAATCGCTTCCTCCAACTGCGGAGCAACCACTCTGATAGCATATCTTAGTAGATGCACCCGTTAATCGATTTTTCCACGAAGGAAAAAGGACCAGAAATGGAAATCTTGGAAATGGCGCAGAAAACGTTTACCTTTGGAGACTCGCATTAATGTTCCATTACGACATGTGGATTTTCCGTGCCCCAAAAAATCGTAAATTATGGCAATTAACTTTGAAAAGTGGCTTCATTCGTAAAACAAGTGTGTTCGCGAAACCATCTACCTACAGCTTATTTTGCAAATTCTCACAGAAAGCTTTACGCAGCGGTTTGTCGAAAGGTTTTTAACGCTTGCACCATCTGATAGATGTACGGCCGGGTACATCTATTAGATGGTGCAGGCGTTAAAACCTTTAACGGTGTGGCGTGTGTTATACGGAACTATAGACGTTTCCGTATGACACGCCACACCATTACATGAGACACGCTGAGTTCAGAACTAGCACGACGCGTTGATTTTGTTGGTTCTTCATAAAAACAATTCACGAATTTTTTTTCAACCACTTCGGTTTTGGCTGCTATTATACTTTTCTTACACAAACCGTGTTCTGAAACTGCTTCACCCACCCTTCAATTTTGTGACGATGCGTTCGATGTTGGACGGTGTTGTGACGATTACCAAATTTCGTGCGAAAGTGTCTTTGAACGACGATGTTTTGGTACAAAACACGGGACGCTTTCTCCTCATGGATGGCGCCATTTTGATTAACAGTGCCTCTAAAGGCGATTTCATAACCGGAAGTTCTGTCACTGTTAAAACTTGTGTAATTATACTTTCAGAATTAATTTGTTTCGTCTTCAGCAGCAGAATTTGTACTATGTTTTTTTTTTTTTTTGTTTGTTTGTTTGTTTGTTTGTTTCATTCAATACACCTTGTACTCTTTCTTAAAAAAATCCTTTCCAAAGTCATCCGCTATGTTACGCTCCTGAAAATGCTTTACCATCTTTATTGAACAGATCCACCTGGCAGTTACACGTTGATTATCTCTAGGCACTGCAGAAAGAGCACGAAAGAAAAAGCTGCCTCGTTTAAGTTTTCGTGGGGGTTATGATATTTTCCTCAACAGTTTTTTTGTAACTAAATGTGATAAATAAATGCAGAACAGCTAAGAATTTAATCTTCACGATGTAAATGTAGTAGTGACTTCTGTGTTTTACAGTTTTTTTTCCCCCATCTTAATGTAATGTATATAAATCAGCAGTGCGTGCATTAAACAAAAGAAATTTTCTTTCTAGTGGGATGCACTATTTGAAGCCTCACAGGTCTCCGCGTAAAGTGCAACTCAAAGAAGTGCATCATTCCAATGAGACTGCATCTGTCAAAGTGATGACTCCGGATGGCGTGACATTGGTCCAAACAAATGAACGAAAAGAGGAGAAAACGACGTCGAAAGGCCCGCCCCACAAACGGCGCCCTGCTCCGCCGCCGCCCCCTAAGCAGCCACCTAAAAGGCCGCCACCTCCTCCCCCTCCTGTCACTCCACCTCCACCTCAGGTGGTAGTGGTAATGGATGGGGCTGAAAACGACAACTCTGAGAAATTTGGAGAGCTCAGGTGAGTGTTTATAGCAACTCGTCGTCTTGCTGACTATGACCAATGTGTCTTTTGTGCTATAATTAGCCTTTTAGTAATGTCTCCAATTAGCACTAAGAAGTATCTTTGAAAAGTAACCATTCTTAATAAGAAATATTAAGTTTTCGAACTGTCATAAATTCATTGTGACATGAGATACCTAGATCTTAACCTTCGGGCAACGGTTATAACATATAAGAAACTCCTCTGGGAACAGTAACTACATTAAATATGCTTTTAAGTAAATACGAAAAGTTAATATTATGGAGATGTTCTTATTCTTAAGGAGGCATGCTGTCAGTAAATGATTTAAAAACTAAATCAAGGAGGAGAACCACTTCATTATCCGATTTTTAGTAATGTTAGTTTAATAATCTAATCACAAAATAAATTGACTTTGAAATCCGTTTGTCACATGGAAGAAGGTTTTTTGGTTTGGTTTACATAATTATGGCAAAGCACACTAGGTCTATCTGCCTAAGGGGAGAGATGCCTTCGTGGAAGACTTTCTAAGGGAAACTGGCTCGTATACACGTTACATATGGGGAAAACTACGAAAACGCCTATGCAGCCTGTCTGTTCGCGGGATTCGAACCTTGGACCGTACTACCTGTGTTCAGCGACTTTACCCGCTCGGCCACTGGTGGGCCCACGCATGGAAGAAGAAAAGGGGAATGAAGATTGTGTAGTTTTAGTTATCTAGATTAAATGAAACCACAACCGGTCTGTCATTCCTCTCTGTAATCCGAATTAGACTGCAAATTCATTGCAGTACAAGTGAGGAAATATCACTTTTTCGTTTTCCTGTTTTATTTCTACCAGGATTATATTAGCTAAAAGTTTTTTTCCCCCCTTTGTTAAATAAAATGGAAAAGCGCATTTATTTCCACAGGTGAAATTAATTATTCTTTGTTCAAGCATACAGCTTTTTTTAACTTAAGTGAAATAAAACAAAGAGATTAGTTTTTGTTTACGTAGTTCCTAAAATTCAAACACAATCTTTTATTTCAATAATATTAAAATAAAGTTACTCATATAAGCCTAGAAGAAAACGTTCGTTGGACAAAGATATCTTATATTGAGATAAAATATTAAAAGTAATAAAGTTGACAATACAGTACATGTTATTTTTTCAATTTTTTATTAATTTATTTACTTATTTTTAAATGTATTTTGAATTTTTCTTTACATCTGAAGTCTCTGATATCCTTACTTTGTACTTAACGTAAGTTTGATTTCAGTTTCACTGCTTTTTAGTCTGTTAGCGATATTAATTTTCCTTTCATCGTCGTCACGTCGCTTCTCTTTTCGCGTAACTAAGCAAAAATGTTACATTTTACACTCAAGGAAAGATAATTTCTTTCAAGAATAAAAAAAACTCCACGTACACACAGCATGCTAACAATAATAAAGTCGTAACATACCGTCAAAAGGCTAATTAAATGTAATTGATCTCAGTAACACTATGTATTTAAACATAAATTTTCTGCGTCGAGAGAAAGACTGAAAAATAAAATAATTTCGATAGATTAAAGATTTGTTAAAAGAAGTATTTGTTAGACTAAGCAATGATTGGCGGAATAAATAAAAAAACAGTCGTCTTTTATAACATGCATGGTTGCTTTTCTGATTAATGTTTATAAGCTATTTGTTTGCTAGATGATATGTGATGACACCGTATTAAATAAATTAAAAGAATGTACATAGAATATTTATTTAGTTTTATTTAAATTAATGAAAATATTAAGCACAACTTTAATTTTAAATGTCTTTTAAAGAAGTTCAAGCGATCCGAATGAGTGCCCCTGGGCCCAGCAGCGGCCGAATAGTGAAGTCGCTGAACACTGGTAATTTGGGCCGGAGTTTGAATCCCGGCAAACGGGCTCGCTGCGTAGGCGCCCCCATGTCTAACGTGTATACTAGCCAATTTCCCTAAGAAAGTTCTCCACTAAGGCATCCCTTCCCTTAGGCAGATAACCCTCGAGTGCTTTGCCATAATCAAACAAAGCCAAAAACCAAATCGTTCTGTTTCTGGAAAAATGTTTTATGTCTTGCATATTTTCTGACTGTAACAACTACTATTGCTTTAGCATTTCATAAAATTTCACATTATTTGTACTTTAAACCTTTATATTTAGCTATTGTGGAGGTACCGGCGGCGACATGCGAAATCACACGGCTCACCGCTATAAAACCGGCTAAAAACTAAGTTTTTTTAACATCTGATGCTGTTTTGCCGACATGATGATGAACTACAGAATAATTCTTTTGTTACTAGACTCCAAAAAATGCAAATAACTCAGACTGTTTATTAAATTTTGAGTGCATGTATGATTGTATAGTACTCTGTAAAACATGACAGTATTAGTGAAGATACTGGAAGTACTCGCCAACACTCTTCAGGCATAGCCTAAGACGTCGTCATTAATCATTGCAATTTCATGCTGAAAGTTTCTATATGGTGCGTGGCTTGTTAACATAAGCTTTTCATTTTAAAATGGCCCACTGGGAAAAACCGGAGGAGACTTAATATTCAGAAGATCCTAGCGGCCAGAAGACTATCAATATAATTTGATCTCCTGATGACGACATCAGCCCCCCTTCCTCAATGTTCCACGTTCCTTTCACTTAAATTTCATGCATTAACATTTCATAACTTGCTAAATAGTAGCATTTTCTTCTGTCTGGTACCGAAAGAATCAATGGCTATTTCAAAAAATGAGTGTGGGTTATAAAATATAAATTTTTCATTAGCTGTAAAAGTTCAAAATCACAAAGTGTTTCTGAGAAATTAATAGCCCCACATTCTAAATAGCATGAATTAATGAATGCAATGAATTAAACATCAAGTTTATTTGTATAATGATGGTATTTGTTTATTTAGGATTGATGTGAAACCACCATCTCTGCAGCTTCTCTCATCGGCTTCGAGCCCTCAGCTACTACATAGTTATGGGTCATCTTCTCTGTCTCCTCCTTCGTCTTGTTGTGATGACACTGGCTGTCCTTCCAGTCCCGAGTTACCGTTACCGCCGCCGCCTTCTGCCGACGGTAGCGACATTGTGATGACGTGTGATGAACCTCTTCCGCCACCGCCAGATCCTCGAGATGTGGACGTGCAACCTAGAATTCTCGATAGCTCGTCACTGTAAGTCTCTTCATTAATTCCTAACAGTTTTTCGATTAAGTATTATTGCTAACAACCGTTTGATTCTTTTTTAACCCTTCTTATACAAACTGCCAAACCTCACAGTCGCAATTTTTTGTTCAGGAGTTAATTCCTTGTTAGTGGCTAAAATGTTATGGTTATGTTGTGTTAAGTTATTTGTGTATAGGAAAAAACACGAGGACTATCTACCTAAAGAGAGGAATGACTTCTGGGAGAACTGGCTCGTATTCACGTCCAGCCCTTTCACATGGGTTCGAATCCAGGTCGAACTACTATTATTCAGTGGTTTCAACTACTCGGGCACTGGTAGGGCAAAATGTTATGCATTCAGTAAAAATATCTTCATACATGAACTAAATTTCTTCATAACTATTTCTTTCATTTCCTTTTGGTAATTTAAAGAACCACAATGCTGAATTGTTTATGTTCCAGATATCAGGTCGCTTTGAAAGTTATAAAATAACATTTCTCCAGTATGCTGTTAACTCGTCAAATATACAGAACATTTTATGTCTGATAAATAAAATATAACAGACGTTAGACTGAATCAAACTGTTGAACTTTAAATGTGCTAGCTGAAATCCGATTATTTTGTCATGTAATAAAAATTGATTTTTCTTGAATGTTAAAACTTTGTCAAGTTACATTTTAGTTTAGAACGTTATTCAGCATACCTGTTTTGCTTGTCTTGATGATTTCTTAACAATACTGCTATTGTTCTATTTTTTTAATGGCCGGGCGCTTTATTTAATAGCCATTAGCCTTGCGCCACTACAAGGGCCGGAAAAGGGTAGCTCCCTTACATTACAGAAGCATCTAATAGGTGGCCAGGTAATCTCCTGTGATGGAAATTCTCAAATATTCTCAAAATAGATGCATTATTTTCTTATCGGCGTGAACTTGCTTCAGTAACTGAATGGAGTGGTTTTTTCCTTTCCCCATTGTACGTTATAAAGTACTACTGTTAATTAAATATCCCTAGTTTGGCAAATCATCGTCAAATGTCTAAACAAATTGATGAAATCAGATGGTCACGCGCGATTAGTTCATATGAATAACCTGAACAAGGCAAAAACTATGACTAGGTTGTACGTGTTATTAGATTAGAGTGACCGAATAATGGTAAGTTTTCTATCAACAGTATCATTTCTGCTGGCGGTCTCACCGGCTACCGAGCGGTTAAAATCTGCTGAATACTGGTAATTCATCTTGGGTCCTACCGCAAGCGAAAGAACTAGCTGCATGGTTTGTTTTTGTTTTCATGGTTTTCCCCATGTGTAATGTTGTTATGATCCAGTTAGGAGAGATTCATTCATTAAATAAAAAGGTCTTACAGAAAGTAAGATTTCTAGATGTTTATGTTAATTTAATAATACGTACACTATACATTCGTGCTGAATGAGTGCTCTGTAATGAAAGAGGTGGAGCTTCTTGAATTTTAATTTTTCAGAGAAAGCAATACTAGGTGTTAAGTCTAGTTTGGTGTAAAGATTTGTAAATCGAACTTTTCCTTCATTTCTTAGCGGATGGTTCTCCTTCGTTATCCTTAGAACGCATTTAAAAGTGTTCTCAGTGGCTTAACTATAATATAATAGTAGGAAAGACATTTATTATTTATATAGATTGCTAGGTATTTAAATATTCAGAATCATTTTTAAGAATATCAGTGTGGAATGTCTGCATTGTGAAGGTAACAGAGCCATGTTTTCCTGCTAGAGACGAACGTAACCAATAAGGATGTATTTCTGTTCTGTTTTTTCTCTAACGTAAAAATTTATTGAACAGAAAAGGGAGTTTTATAAACCAAATAATTTCCTTTTATGATAAAAATGAGAAGTATAATTTTACTTTGCAAAAGAGGACCTTCCATAGTATAGACGTTTAGTGTCATGTTATATTTTCGATATATATTTTTTTATTCCTTTACATTTAGATATTTTTATTGGATTATTTCTTTCCTGTGGAGTTTACTTTAAAGTACCTAAGAGAAATCCTGTAGCATCTTATAACACTGACGATTTATACTCACTTCAATGATTTATTCTATAAAAAAGAAAATTACGGAATGTCAGTTTGAGAGATTGTTTCAAATATTATCCTCATAAAAAGATAGATTCTTATTCAGTATAGCATTTGGATGCAGTCTTTTATATCCTGCATAAATTTCTTTTGTGTATTTAATAAATCATGAGCAAAATGGATTTAACTAACAGACCTTCTGTTATAGATGGTAGTTTTCCATAAATTGCAGACACCCAGTATTATTGCAAATCTATATGTTGATGGATAAAAAATGGTTGTCTGAAAATATTCTAAAATAGAATTTTACTTTTTCCGTAAAATGATTTACATACATTTAGCTTTTATAGAAAAAGATATGTGTTTGACAATTATGGTTTTTCATATTGTGAATCGTGAATACTTAAGGCAGCTGCTTTAAAAATTCCTCCACAAAAGCTTCCTTCCTTCAGGTAGATAGCCCGAGTTCGTTTGATTTAATCCAACAACCAATACTCATTTTATCGCGTCGGGTGAATTTTGATGTTTTTGCATTATTTACAGTTTTCTCTACAGCTAGAACCCTTTCTGCCGCTTTCATGCTCAGTGAAACGAGAATGCATAGTTGTTTTCCTGTCATAGTTATGACTGAAATGTATTCATGATCATTCTAATATATATTTTTTTTTAGTTACGCTAATTGGAAAAAAAAAAAAAAAAAAGATTTAGATTTTTTTTCTCTTTTAAGTAAGTACCCCGTCCCCTTTCTGTTATTCATGTAGATATTCTTACTAGCTCAGATGAAATTCTAAATATTAAAATTTAGGTAGCAATCAAAATTCTGGATTCAACTGGTAATAAATTCATTTAAGAGTTATTGGCTGAAACTGGATGTGTAGAGACATTAGGTATTTTTTTGGAAGCAGGGGACTTGAAAAATGAGCAACGACCTCGCCGGGAATCCAACCACGGACCTCTGGAATACGCGCCCAGCGTGCAGACCACAACACTACGAAGGCATGCTAAGAACGCGGGAGAAATACCTTATATACTCCCCCTTTTAAAGGGCGACTGTGGTTTTTAGGAGTCCCAATCACAAAATCCTGGGTGTGGAGAATCATCATCCCCCACCCTTTTAGTTCGGGCGCCAGTGTAGCGACATTAGGTATTTTTTGGAAGCAGAAGACTTGAAAAATGAGCAACGTCTTCGCCGGGAATCGAACCACGGACCTCTGGAATACGCGCCCAACGTGCAGACCACTACACTACGAAGACATGCTAAGAAGGCGGAAAAAGTATCTTAAAGATGTTCTGTTGCCTTTGTAGTATTGGCTTTTGGAATAAATAACTTCTGGCGAGGCTGAGATAAATTAATAATGGATTAGACTTTAATGTGAATTCATTTTAAACATTTGGGGAGAAAGTACGATTGTTGAAAAAGAAACAAGACTTAAGGTTGGAAGATTACCAGAAAAATAAATATTTCATCGGGAATTACTTATAAATAGTGCCATAACTGGAAGGAAGAAAAAGAAAGGAAAGATGAATCACTTGCAAAAGACAAGACTGGTTAGTAGAAGAATGTTTCTAGATTAGTAGGCGTTAACGGCCAAGTTATTGTATCTTGAGAAATAAAGATGGTCAGAAGTGGACATCTGTGCTTGTCAACAACTATGTAAATAAGTGAAATAATTTCCGCAGTCGCATTCTTGCTACTACAGAGTTTGATTTTTTTTTTTTTTTTTTACATTATTATTTCCTCCTATGTATCATAAATGTCCATCTTTTCTAAGTATTCAAATAATCAGAAATGTTTGAAAGATATTTATTTATTTATGCACTTTTTAAGGACATCTAACAAACTGCGGTGAGTTAACATTCAGAAAACGCCCACATCTTATGCGATTTATAGTATTGGGAAGCCTTTTTTCGCTGTTTAACTAGACAGAATAATTTTCTCTTGACAGTTAGTGGTTAGAAAGGGATCGTAGCCAAAATGAGTTGATGCCAAAAAGTTTCAACGCCCTGTTTATATTTGGCATTTCTGTCTTGAGTAATATTTTTTTTTATTCATTTTTTAAAACATCTGATGCAGTATTAAAGAACCGCCTTGTCGTTTGTATGTAATGCTTTAATTTCGGAACATTGAGTAGATTTTAAGTTAAGAACAAAATGCGTGATCCGAATCAAAAATTAAAGCTCAGAGTTATTTTGTTCGAACACGTTCAGAGAAAATTGAGAAAGCTCAACCGTCTGAAATAAATTCTCCTTTAAAAATGGGATTTAAATAAAGATACTTCTTCTAGATGAGCAATCGAGAAATCGCTGCGTAAACACTAATACCCACTTATACATCTTATTTATTATTCATACCTGAAAGAATCAAGAGAGCTGCAGCAAAAGTTAATAACATTTTATTCAGAAAGCGAAAGATAATATCTCCCGAATTTAATTTCTGACTTAAGGAACACAACATCGCCATCCATCCTTGCTGCCCCTAAAGCAACATTTGGATTAAACTCTAGGAAGAACACGGGGATTTAAACGTTTGATTTTTAATTTTGGGCGTTTGTTTTAAATCGCTGTTAATGCGAAAGATACTTTCTTTAGGCTGTTTGCTTACCATTTATCAATGTTTGGCTAAGAAGTATAATATTTAGGCTTTTCTTAATCTCGTTTACGGTTGGTGATATCTTTTCTTATAGTCATCAACACAGGTAGCTTTGAAAAGGTGTTAGCGTAATGACAGCAAATTTTGACATTATTTCTGATGTGAAGAATGTTATCATAATTTTTCATGTTACAGGGAAATTAAGTAATGCATTAATTAGTATTTGAATTTCGTAACATCTTCAAATTGCTCGACTACGCCCTAACAATATAAAATTATCGATATCACTGTATCTGATGTTTTTAGTACATAAACCATGTCCGAATAACAGGACATTTGCATATTCCAGTTTCAAAAGCTCAAATACCTG